CACACACACACACACACACACACATAAATAAATAAAATTTTTAAAAAATCTTGTATTTAAGGGTTGGGGAGATAGCTCAGTAGAATAAGTGCTTGCCTGCCAAGTGCAGGGTTCTGAGTTCAATTCCCAGTACTACAAAAAAAAAAGAAAGAAAATCTTGTATTTATTTATTTGGTACAAGGTCCTGCTATCCAGCTGAGACTCGTAGTGATCCTCCTGTCTCAGCCTCCCCTAGGATTACAAGCATGCACCACCACTCCTGGTTTCAGGACCTAAATGGCGGGCTTGACATGGGGCCAGCACAGCATGTGGTACCAAGGATTGAACACATGTCCTTGCACTTGCAAAGCAGGCACTTAGACCCTGAGCTATCTCCCCAGCCCCTGTTTTTCTTTTATATGTCAGAATACTCATCATAGGCTCTGGGAGTTGGTATTATTGATTATGTCTTAACAACATGGTGTACAATACACATACACAGTTGAGATTATGCGGCGCAGAGCAAATTGTGAACAGCGTATGTTTTATAGTTCGTCTGTCGGCCTACCAAAGAGAGCTGGAGTGGGCTGGGTCAGAGAGTTCTTGGAAGCCTTGTCCACAGATGGGGAGGTTCCATCCCCAGCACCACACATGCAAAAATCCCCAAGGACTGCAGAAGAAATACTGAATTGTTAAATTTCGATATTAGAAAGGAAGATATAGGAGCCGAGGAGATGGCTCAGTGGAATAAGTGCTTCCCTGGCAAGCACAAGGGCCTGAGTTCAATCCCTGGTTCCATCAAAAAAAAAAAAAAAAGGAACGTAAGAAACACAGTGCAGGGGTCGGGGAGATGTCTCAGTAGAATATGCGCTTCCCTGGCAAGCACAAGGGCCTGAGTTTAATCCCCGGTTCCACCAAAAAAGAAAAGTGCATACAGCATCCCTAGCCATTGACTGGTTAGCTGTCTCAGGCACAAAATTCAACACAATATCTGTATCTTGGAAATGTTCTGAGCTTCCATCTGCTAGAGAGTCTGATGTCTGTCTGCCTCACATTTGGGCTTCAGAGAGAAATCCTATGTTTAAAACTGCTTCTTGGTGTTATTTCATTTTGACATGCATATTCAAGTGTTCCCGGGTAGCATTTCAAGTGTAGCTATATTTTAGTTTTTATTATAAGGTGTATCCTTGTGATAATCTGAAGGAGTTAGAAACAGTGAATATCTGACATGAAACACATTTTTTTCAGTAGTATTTCTTGAAGTGCTTCCCTGTTTAAAAAAAAAAAAAAAAGAGGGGTTTTTTGGTTTTGTTTTTAATCTGTTTAGTACAGGATCTACAGGTTTAAAAAGAGATTTTTAAAAAATAGGTTTATGGAACAAAAATCATGTCAGAGCCTGATTAACTGTTCCCTGGAAAACATTCTGGCCCCCACCCCCACCCTTTTGCCTATATACTGATATTGTGTCCTTGAAACATTCTCGTTTTTTACTTTTTGAGACAGGCTCATTCAGGCTGGCATTGAGTTCACTTTGTAGCTCAGGCTGGTTTCAAACTCACGAGCATCCTCTGGGCCAGCTGTGGCAGCCACACCTGTAGTCCCCACACTCAGGAGGACTGTTGCGAAGTTAACATCAGCATGTACAAAAATTTTACCAAAACTTGAACTGTATTATGAGATACCTGACCTTGCAACAGACTAAGACATGTGGAAACTACTTTTATTCTAATGTTTTCTTCTTCCCCAAGCCTGTTCTGCATGGTGAAATAAGGACTCAATAAAACAAAACCACTGTGCTGCGAGCACCAAGCGAATGACTCAATACCTGGAAGAAATCCCAGGATAGAGCATACTCAAATAATCTAAACACTGGGCCAGAAAGATCACTTAGTGGAATAAGTGCTTCCCTGGCAAGCGCAAGGGCCTGAGTTCAATCCCTGGCTCCTCAAAAAAACCACTGATTTGGTTATAGTGAATTCATTTTTTTAAAAGCAAGAATTAGTGGTGGTACATGCTTACTTATAATCTCAGCACCAAGGAGGCTGAGGCAGGAGGATTTCCACAAGTTCAAAATCAGCATGGCTGTGAGCCCAGACTGCATAATGAAAACCTATGTCAAAAAGCTTTTTAATGGTGCGGACGCAGCCATGGCCGAGGAGCAGCCCAAGGTTGAGCTGTTCGTGAAGGCCAGCAGCGATGGAGCCAAGATCGGGAACTGCCCCTTCTCCCAGAGACTGTTCATGGTGCTCTGGCTCAAAGGAGTCACCTTCAGTGTCACCACCGTGGACACCAAGAGGCGCACGGAGACCGTGCAGAAGCTTTGCCCAGGAGGGCAGCTCCCATTCCTGCTGTACGGCACGGAAGTCCACACGGACACTAACAAGATCGAGGAGTTTCTGGAGGCTATGCTGTGCCCGCC